GCTGCTCGAGCTGAATTAAGAGTTCCTTCTTTCGCCCCCGTTCAATCTAGATGATAAGAATTGCAATACTTTAACGTTGGTGACATCTAGGGGATCTTGTGATTTTTCGAGATTAAAATTCCACCAANGGCTAAACCCTCCAGTACTGGGTCTACATCCCATGCCGAGTCATACTTTGGGGCACTCGGCCTTTCTTTGGCCGCTCCTTTAATAAATCTTGCAATTAATGGATCTTTAGATAAATTTTCAACTGAAATAAGAGCTAGAGCTGCTCGAGCTGAATTAAGAGTTCCTTCTTTCGCCCCCGTTCAATCTAGATGATAAGAATTGCAATACTTTAACGTTGGTGACATCTAGGGGATCTTGTGATTTTTCGAGATTAAAATTCCACCAAAGTTTCAGGGTGGAATTGTATTGTCTCAGCGTCGATTTTTCTAGAGACGCGACTAGTACTTCGATGGCTTCTTCCGGCGAATTCCTTCTCAAAAACGCTTCGCGGATACACTCGCGGCAATCAGGGTAAGTTTTGCTGATAATGGGTGAGGCGACGAGCTGTAAACAGATATCAATAGTTTTGAATTAGGATAAACAACGAGCCAGTCGCTGTTAGATAAATTTTTAAACATTGGAAACCACATTTGACTTTTCCAGAGTGGGACAACCAGAATTCCCGATGCTTTGTCATTTTTTATTTTTTGTAAAACTTTTGGAATAATTGCGAATGGTGGAAATGCGTAGAAATGTAAATTTGACCAATTTATTTTAAATGCATTGGCCACTATAGCTCCAGGGTTTCTTCCCCACGAACAGTACATCTTGCATTTTGCATTCGCTCTTGAAGCAAACATCAATTTCTGTGGCTCCAAAAGTTTTTGTAATTAGACGAAATGCTTGATCTGACAATTCCCATTCGGTATCATTATTAACTATTCTGGACAATGTGTCTGCGTCTTTATTTTCTTTTGAAGCAATATATTCCGCAAATACCCATAAATTACGCGTTTCACACCAATCCCAGAGTTCTCTAGCTAGCTCGTGGAGTGATTCGACTTTGACTCCCCCAACTCTGTTGATGTAGGCAATTGCGGTTGTGTTATCCACTCTCAACAGGACTTCACAGTTCGAGAGGTTGCTGGCAAAGAGTTTCAAGGCCAGAAACGCCGCTTTTAATTCGAGGTGATTGATATCGAGGTTTTTCTCGTCTCGTCTCCAATTACCATGTATCCCTTCACCATTACAGAAAACACCCCAGCCTGTAAGAGAGGCGTCTGAGAAAATTTCGCGTTCGAAGTGAAATTTTCTTATAGCCCTCTCTGCTTTACCGATGGATCTCTTCCACCACTCTAGATCTGGTTTGACTATCTTGGGAATCACCATTTTACCTTCAAAGTCCATGTCATTCTTTCGGAGGGCTTTAATCTTTTGTTTTTCAAGGGTTTTGCAGTGCAGAAGACCGTATTCTACACCTGAGCAGCTAGAGATTAATGTACCTATCAATTGCGCGAACTCCTTAATTTTACAGGATTTTTTCCCCTCAAATGATTGAACTAGTGATAGAATATGGGATTTATTTTCCTCTGGTAATGTCACTGTCATCTTGTCGGAATTCAGGATGAAACCCAAATATTTTCAAACTGTACTAGGGGTTAATGATGATTTTTTCCAATTGATTATGAGCCTCAGTGACTGGAAGAATTTGCATGAAATTTCTAGATTGTTTAGACATAGTTCGGCTGACTCTCCGAGGCATAGAAGATCGTCCAAGTAAATAATCGATGAAAAACCTCGCTCTCGCAATCATCCTACGACTGGTTTCATTAGTTTTGTAAAAACAAAGGGGCTCGTTGATAATCCGAATGGTAAACAGGTAAATTCATATAATTGGCTATTGAAGCTGAAGCGTAAATATTTTCGGCTATTCTGGTGTATTGGTATTAGGAAATATGCATCTGCCAGGTCTATGGACCCCATAAACATGCCCTGACTTAATAATTTGCAAGCAGCTCTCAGATCTTCGAGTTTGAAATGCTCTGTTTTTATGAACAAATTTAATTTCTTGAGATTTAAAATAAATCTGCTTTTGCCCCCTGGCTTGGGGATTAAGAAATAGCTGGAAATGAACTCATTAGGACATGATTTACACGGTTCAATAGCGCCCAACTCCTGTAGCCGGGCTATTTCTTTTTGCAAAGCTTGAAATTCAGTGGAGGACCAGTTCTGAATGGGAATTACCTCTTGGTGAGGTACTTTTTCAAAAGAAATTGAGTACCCTTTGACATATTGTCGAACAATTTTGTCAGATGTGATTTTGTTCCATTCTTTTTTAAATGAATTTAATCTGCCTGCGAGCCTGGTTACCTGAGGGTTTGTGTTAGGCTCTGGGGTTAGGAGCGGTGTCTGGAGCGATGACTCTTGTTGCTGGGATGGGATGATTTCGGGTACGACGTTTGCTTCGATGATGCCTTCGATGTCGCCGACTTCTCCTATGGCTTGATTTTGTAGCTCGTCTGACTTGTCGGCTTCTGTGTTGTCGACGAGCTCCTCCAGTTTCCCTGATTTTGTTGAGACTTTTTAGCTGGTTGATTCATCATTTCCTTTCCCAGTTTAGCGTTTGTTCTGACTTGGCTGATTTTATCCGCTAATTTTTCTCCAAACAGAGCAGAATCTGGTTCACGTTTGTTGAGAGCATCTGCGAAGGGTTTCGCTAAACTTGGAAGGATACAGACTCTTCGAGCGGCTGACTGTAACCGATGCTGTCTGTCAACCATAAGTCTAGCTGCGTTCCAAACATTCCCCAGAATCTCTGCCGCTTTCTCTGGCTCTGATTTGAGTTTTATCAAAGCTGTAATCGCCGGGACAAGTGCTGATAAGGCTGTGCCGACCATGTTCTGCGTAATTGTGAAGTATTTATCTCTTTTCCGAGCACTTTCGCTCAACTCGAGCTCCTCGTTCAATATGGCAGCTTCCAGTGAAAAGTCTCCCTTCCTGGGATACTTTTTGATGAGATCTTCCTTTACTTCTTTTTTCATTGGGTTTTTGAGCCACAATTCCCAGCGTTTAGCGATGTCTGAGGGAACAGTTAGCTTTTCCTCACTTGGGAGAGGCTCTTCTCCCAAAATTTGCAGAAGTGACTCATCTAATTCGAGGTTATCTCCCCCGGCAGGTTGTTTTGTCTCTGTCGGCGTCACAACATCTGTTGACGAGGTCTCATTTGTGTGGGAGGTTTCAGCTGACTTATGAGTTGTTTTGTCAGAATTGTTTCCACTAGATACATCCTTCGATCCGCCCCGGATATTCGGTGTCTGTTGAACTCCCTGCTCTGCTCGGTGAATGATCGAAATCTGCAAAGCATAATTCCGTTAACATCGACCCTGTCTAACCTCTCGGATTAGCTCAACCGTGAAACTTCGACACACGTGTTGTCTCTCGTACAACCTCGGTCGAGTGGAATATTTTTTGGCTTGTCTCTCGTACAAGCTCTTTTGGTCATTGTTGGATGCTTGTCCGGGAAGAAATAGAAGAAATCATATCTTACCTTCATTGCAACTCAGAGTTGTTTCATTAACTCTGGCGTCGGAACGTTCGTCCAGCGCGTTTTGGGGTTGGGTTTTGAGGACATGTTCAAGGATGAGGTTTTCCAGTTTCTTGAACCTTTTTCTCAAACTCTCGTTCTCCTTGTCTCTGCTACGCGATCTCTTCTTACTTTTTCCCATGTTTATGCGGTGGTAATAAGTTTATTGACGCAAAAAACCGGAAAAGAATTACTCGTATGTGCGAATTGCTTGGCACAATAAAAACGAATGACGAAAGAGACCGTGGCGCAGCGCCAGTAGGCCGCCTAGCGCCAGATTCGAAAATTTTATATTGGTTTTCACTCTAAAACATGTGACTTGCAGGCGTAACTAACGTTACTACACTTCGTAATCTCGAAGGGCGAGATACGAAGTATAATTCAGTAATTAAATATAAATAGTTGATCTGGGGAAAGAAAATTTGAGTAAAATAAAAAGTTCAAAAATATCAAACTCTGAATATCTACCAGTAAATATCAGGATTGTAATCCCGAGAATAAGAATGAAATATAATTTAAAATCAAACGAATTTACCCGTAAGTAAAGTTCGATTATAATTATATGAAGTCTCGTTCGAAGGGATTACAACCCGCCCTAAGATGAATGTCTTCTCTACCCGCCCGAGGTGATATTTTTTTCCTTTTCATTTTCTTTGGCTCTAAAATTTATGAAAACGACAGGTCTATAGTGGCGCCACCAAGCCCTCATGGCGCACTTTTTTGAATTGCTCTCTAAACTTGTGGCTCGATCTGCATGATCAGCGGTACTACCAGTAAATATCAGTATTGTAATCCCTTCGAACGAGACTTCATATAATTACAATCGAACTTCACTTACAGGTTAAGTTCGTTTGATTTTAAATTTTTCAGACTTTGTTGCTTTGGCGAACTTTTCTGTTCTGGAGAAGGTAACAGAAAATTCTTGAGTGTTCATTACGTATTTTTGACGATCATTTTCCGTACTCGGATGTTATCTACTCATAGGGCAATATCGCAAGTAGGGAATACCAATGCTGGAAAAGTGGGCCAAGTGTAGCTCAATCCTTGGCTTGTATCATGCTTTAGCGCCCAAGCTTGATCGGAGGATCGGGTATCTTCGGGAATCAGGGCTTGAGTCTGAGGAGAAGGGCACGTATTTACCATCGGCATGCCTAACCTCGATAACCCTACCAGCGGTGCATCGGATTCATAAAATCGGAGGAATTCCTAGTATTTTTCAAACTATGTTCTTTCTCCTTTCAAGCAATAAGGGTGAAGTTAGCGAATATATAAATTGAAATAATAATGGCATTTACTCCAACGGAAAAAGACCCCTGATAGGGAATGAGAAATATGCTACACTAGTCAACCCTTAGCCATTGTTGGCTCATTCCTTACCTGCTATCCTATTAGGGTATATCAGTCCCATCTCGGTATATTTTTTACTCACTTTGGATTTGATATAACTTTATGAGCTTCATCTATAATCTCGTCTTTAGTCATCGTATACAAATTCAACGATTCGGCAATTCCTCTTTGTTTCCATGCTTCGACATTGAAATGTTGATCGACAAAAACTGGGATACCTAGAAGTGGTACACCACATTCAATTGCCTCTTCACTACTCTGCAGGCCTCCTTGATAAATGAATAATTTAATATTTGGGTGAGCTGTAAGAAAAGAATTGAAGGTAATACTCATATAAAAGATATCGGGAATAAGGAAGGTGTGCAAATGTATTTGAAAGAAATGTGATGTCAACCTAGCACTCCATGTTGCGGAATCCATTTCTGAATGAGTACATTGCTCGGTTTGTGTGGAAGAGAATCTCCATCGAATTTCCACACAATAAGATAAGGCATCTCAGAAAAAGCTCCGATGATTCTCTCCAAAATTGCCGGTTTCACCTGACTACTATTTATGGTCGATCCAAGGCTGAAATATATGAATCCCTGCTTAGCATCATCCAAGATAATTTTTAATTCTTGTGGTAGAGTCTTGTTCATCATTCCCATTCTAAATCCACCGATTTGCACAACATTGGGGTTCATTGGGCGAGGATAATGCAGGAGTGGATGTGTATTGAGGAACATAATGCTAATTCGAAGTCTGAGATCTTCAATCCGTGGAACATTATCACCAAAATGTTTTCTGAGAACTCCTTCTTGTAGCGATGATGATCCATAGTGGTAGCCATAATATTGATGGATTATGTGAAATAAATTATTAATTCTCTGCCAGAAATTCATTTTTCCAGCGTAAGCCAATGTGACGTCGGGAAAACATGCGGGGAGTGTAGGGATTCCTGTAGTATTATTAATTAATTTGAATAAAACCGGAAAATTCGGTTGTATAATGAACATCATCATTAATCCCTCAAGGAAAGCACTCATTTGATGCTAATCCGGGCTTGAGGGCTTAATGACAAAGCTCTAAGATGTTTCAGTTGTAAATTATTAATGTTATTTACCCATTTCAAAGTAGTGCGATGCGAATCCTGGTAATGAAGTAATGACAATCAAAGGTGCATCCAGTAAATCAGAAAGATAATAGAGTGAATCCATATAAAAAGACGCTATAATTATCAGATCAAAGTTTTTCGTCGAGTTTGGTGATATGTATCCCTTCATGTATAAATTTGACAGTACATCATCAGCTATTATTCGAGTTAATTCGTAAAACGTTCTGAAATGGTGCGAAAATCCTTGTTCTCCTTTTTCTACGTAGTTCAAGCGTGTACGAATGAGCGGGTAGAAATGATTTAACGAGTGTTCCGTATAATTGGGGATATTTGTATCCATTGGATTCGCTGTAAAGACAGTCAGTTCGTGTCCACGCTTAGCTAGGTCAACTGTTAATAGATGGTTAACCAACTAGAATAATTAAATAATCGAATTAACAAATCTTTTTTTCTGCAATAATGGGATTTGGACGAGAAATTTATTAAAGTAGCTCTACCCTTCGGCCGGGCTACGCTGTACTTTTGGATATTTTCAGTTTTTAAATTTTTCAACTAAATTGCATGGAAAAAATTTGAAAAAATTCATACCTAGTTAGTATTATCTAAATTAAATTTCGCAAAATATTGATATTTTTTCAAACATTTCCTTCTTGTAAATAAATAATAAAACTTGTTTGCAAAACGGTGGATTATTTTTTATGAGGTGTCAAATTTTTTTTTTATTTTTTCACATCTAATGAAAAAAAATTCAGATTTTAATCTTTGATTACAATGGAAATGTTGATTTTCACATAAGACACTGGGTTAAATCCTGATTTTCAAACATTTCTTCTTTGAAAAACCAAAACAATAATTAAATTGAGAAAAAAATTAGAATTTCGAATGTAATCGAGTTTTCTGCAATTTTTTTGCAGTTTTCAATCATTTTTGAATTTACCGTAAGGGTAGAGCTACTTTAATTCAGATTATCCATGAAAGAATGAATTTTATGGCGAAACCGAAAAAGACTATTACTATAGCTGACAGCATCTTTTGCAGAGGAAATATCCTCACCATCCCTTCTAAAAATATTCCATATCGGGATAATTGTAGTGTTTAGCGAAAATCTTTTCTACCGTTCATCAATCAATTCCAATTTTTTAATTCTCCTTCATGAGAGACGTTTGTACTACTATAACTCACTATATGTACAGAAAAGAAGGGATGGGTTAGCCCTCCCTTCTCCTCCGTACATATAGTGATTTATAGGTAGCAACTTTCACGAAAGAGAGTTAATCATGAAGAATGTATATGATAATTTGAAAAGTGTTAGTTGGTGTATTTGTCCCCAGGTAAATAATCTGGATTGATCGGTTTCTCAATCGCCATGCAATATCCCTGGTAGATGAAAAATGGACCAAGATTGGCCGAGGTGGCTCAATGATTTTTGGTGGTCGAATTAGTGCAATGAGAAAGGGCCTAGCGTAGGCCGATGATAGCCGGGTGTTGGCCAGCATTGGGCCATTCTTGGCCTGCCCTGGACCTTTTCTCAACCTCTGCCAGGGAGGGGAATAAAATATACTCGAATGAGGCAAAAATCAGGTTTAAAAAAACAGACATCAATCATACAAAGGCATATAGTCCAATATTCAATCATTATTGAGCAGACAAAGAGCTAGAGAAATAAATGATATACTAATGCAAACTTCAATCTTAAGAGTCGAATTCTTGTCAATGATCCGAAAGAGTTAAATATGAAACGAATCCCATGAGATTTAGCCCATGGTACGTGTTCAACGCAAAAAGGAAAATCATAACTAATATCGTCTAATTAACTCACGTTAACTAGTAAAATTCTCATCGTCAGGTGCAAAACCCCCAAAAAAACAGATTCGAGATCGTATGAAATAGAGCAATCGAATTTGTTAAGTGTATCCTAGCATGATTCCAACGTGGAATTCCCATAATTACACAAAGAAAGGAAATGGAACTCCACAATAATTCTCAGTTGCAATACCCCGAGACCTTCAAAATAATCAGATATTTTCCGAAAGCCGTCAACAAATGAACGTGTCAAGTTTTGCAGAAAAATTTTTAGCCTGCAAAACTTGATAGACTCTTACAATAAAAAAAAACTTAATACATTCAACCTTGAAGCTTGGGAAGGTTGAGGGAAATATCCGATGAATTTTGGAGGTCGATGGGACACTTCCCACCAAAATATCTGTCGAAAGAAGAGAGAATAATTCATAGGCTACTGTGGAATTATCAGTTTCATAATTTACCTGTAGCCCAGTGAATTATCAAAATAATACTGATGTGAAGGTATCACGTAATCCCGAATACTGCACTCTGATTGATTGAAATCAGAATTGAAGAAATTGTTTAAAAAATTCGGTGGTACAACTCCGAACAGCACGAAAACTGTACGGCAATACGCAAATCGAAACTCAAAATCTCATCTCAACTCCGGTTTAGGCGCAAAATTCTCCCCAGGGGGGAATCCCCCAAAGGCACTCTGTCCGAAGGCCATGCACTCCATGGTGAGTAGTCACCGACTCTCTGAACCCCCTAATTATCTCTCAATTTATACCTCAAAAGTGAAAAGAGGGCGAACATCTACCGTGCAAAGATAGAACGAGAGCGTTATATTTCCGCCGTGAAGATACGTAGTGGGGTCAGTCGATGCTACGTAGCAAATATCCAATGCTAAGCGCGTCGAAGCTAGTAAAGGGATACGTCAACCGGATCACCACAAGCGTATAATGCAATTGAAATTCAACAAACAAAAAAAGGAAACGGAGTAAATGGACGGTCATTATTAGCCCAGACAAAAGCCACCATAATTATCTATTGGGGGCCGCATTCTCATGGATCACCGGGGCGGAGATGCAAGATCCACTGAAATCTATAACTCGGCAGGATTTATAATACACCACAAAGACGAAAATTGATTTTCCGACATGCATAACGATTTTGGCAATTCACTCGGTTGCAACGGTCGGGATTGACTGTGTGATCTTAAACTGAAACCCAAAACCGAACCTGTCTCATCCCGATTATTCCATACACAGAACGCCTGTATTGTAGTTGAACTTACACATTTCCCATGAAGATTAACACTCCGTTGGTTGCACTATTGGCGCCGCACCGCACGTTGTCCGATTTTTTAAATTACACTGCAGTAAAGCCTCAGTAAAATTGGAAAAAATTAGACATCTCATTTTGAAATGCTTAGAAGCCCTATTAATGAAAACATCCGCCAAAAATATTGTACGTAGTTAGATTTTCCTATTTTTATTCCGAAACTCCGGGCCGTGTACTGTGTATAAGACGAATTTTCAGAAAACCATGGCAACTTTGACCTGAAATATATAATTAAGGGTAACACTGAACATAAAAAATCTCGCGGGGCTTCTTCAAGTACACGATCAAGATCACTCTCAATTTTCTTCATACGGAGAAAAATGTTCAGTAAAAATTACGGAACTCACAGTTCGTTCACCGATTACGGAGTCGACTCAGAAAATTTAAGTGACGGTATCGTAATTTTTTAGGAGATTCAGGTAAAAATTATGGAACGCTCTGGAAAAATTCTGTGATTTTAGGTAAAATTATGTGACAGTTTCGTAAAATTTCCTGCAACCATATTTTGCTCTGGAATTACGGAAAAGATGCGTAATTTTTATTGAATGTTTCTCACCGTGTAGATTTTTCGTAGATCTTTCAAATTTATCATTACGTCGATTTGTGCTGGTGCGGCGCAGTGCTTACAGGGCGACCAACGGAGTGTTAAATAAAAGGAGGAATTCACATCAATAATTGCGTAGCTCAATAATACCTTTGCCTAAACGACGAAAATCTCCAGCTCCCATAAAGTTAACTTTATCAAATTCCTAACAATTAACAGCTAAACACTACCCAGAGTAACGAGAAATTCTTATCGCGATCCTTATAATTCTCGTATCATGACTGTACACAATCCTCAGTATCCTCAATATACAAACGATTAACGATAAGTGATATGATAATTTCTCATCAAATATTGATTAAAATTAAGGCTCTAGATCTTTATCTGGCTCACACTTGATCTGAAGTTCTCGAGAGGCGATGGATCCCCTACGAAATTCTTAGAATTCCTTACAAAGAATTTATCCTCGAATTAAAATACCTATCCCTCATTGTAGACTAAAATATACCGGATTTAGGTATATTATATGGGTGATTCTCTACAAACTGTGATTTTTCACCTTGCACATTTTTCAAAACCTGAATATGTCTGCAGAGTAATTGTTTTATATTTCTATATGTCATAATGGTCCAGAAGTATAGTCCTAGCACCACTCTACTACACTTCCAAAGATTTAGAATAATAGAGTGTTACTGATTTTGTACTGCCACGGTAGTGACCAAACTTGACAAGTCTTTATATTTCAATCAAGAAATTTAATTTTTAGATAATAGAACAAGTTTATTGATTTATTTGATATCTTTCGAGTATTATATATTCATTTGCGAGGATCACTTTGGTTTTTTTTTTCAACAATCAATTCTGCCACAGTACATTTGTATTCAGCAGTCGTTGATGACCCACCTGGGGGTTACTCTGAGTTTGCCCCATTTAAACACCTAAAAGATTTTTCTAAATACCGTTGTGATGATACAATTTCACTCCCACACATTTATGTATGATATAGCACGGTTGTGACATCCTGTGTTAAAACCTAATCACACTTCGTGCCAGCTATGAATTCAAAGTTCTCTGAAGATGATGAGTTTCAGGCAATGGAATGTTACTTTTTTAATGAAAAAAATTAGCTAAGAAATTAGTCGACATGTAATAAAAATGAAACCACGGTAGTGACAGAATAATTTGTGACTTATGTTTTTCATCTCTCGAGTAGTCTTTCTTCGATGTGCACATGTGTCTAGTTAATTTTTACCAGTGTAAATACTGGGCCTTACCCCTTCTTTACAGACTTTTGGTGCGTGCGTCATGCACAAACGTCGGAAATGGCGTGACCACAGTAGACTTTAAATTTTTTTAAATAGTGCTATAATTGTGGGACACCCTTTTTGATCGTCCTGGTGTGAGTAAAACTGTTATTCCTCTGAAAATTGCTCATGAAAGTATACTTAGTCACATCCCCTTTATCTATGTTCAGCAAATTTTTTTTGAGCTGCTTATTTACTCGGTTTCATTGACAAAATCTCGAATTTTATAAAAAGGACATACCNTACCACGGTAGTGACATTTAGGCTGGTTTCAGCTCTCTAAAGCTAAGTAAACTGTCAGAGAATGGCATCTATTTTATAGAAACGGTGAAATGTTATAGTGTCTCCCGACATCCGAAGAAATTTGATTATTATTTCATCATTTTGAGATCGGAAAAGTTGAAGGACGAGAAAATAACAACTTGTAGATAATCACCCATATACTCGGGAGAATATCGAGAATAATATCAAGAATGAAATCTGCCCCATTTGGGTATATTTTTCCCGTGTTCCTATAGATAATATTTCATTATATAAATATCTCTTACTAATTCATCTCTTGATATTCAATTATATAAATTCATTATTTTCAAATTACGTTTCCTTGCCATATTTTGCTCCATCGGAACAAGAATCAATGAATTAATTACCTGATGGCTATGGGCTGGGAATGGAAAGATCGCCAAAATTCTGGCTGCATCCGTTTTCAATGTCAGGATAGAGGCACTAATAATAAAAATCGTTGTCAAGCACATTTTCAGACCAATTGATACCACACACATATTCACTCTGGTATTGTCGCGGGGAAATAATGCCGCAAAAAATAATACCGCCACAATGCGATAACTCATATCTTAGTTGAAAATATAAACAGCTCAACGCAATGGAATTAATCACGGTTATCACGGTATGAAAATTCCCAATTCTCAGAAAGGAAATAAGGATAGTAACTAAGGATAATAACGGAGTGAATGAAATAGTATCATGGGCATAGTAGGCAAGACTTTAACGATAAAATAAAGGACTTTGTCACTTTGTAAACACTACAATGGTCAATGGAACACTCTCCTATGTTGGACATGGTAATTATGAACATGTCCATGGGAAAGATTGTCAAATGGAAATGCTTGGCATGCTAAATGGTAACACTTATCAAGTTCCATTGATATTTTTGGTTTCAACAAAAAATACAGCTTTCACCACTATCACAGAGGAAAACAAGTAGGCGTTGGAGCCGCTCTGACAGAAGGCATGTGGGAGTTACTTTTTGCGTTATTAGTCTTTTCCTTTCGTTATTCCTACCAATTCCATTGGTAGTAAGCTTCCGAATGGATCTGTAGCAATTCCCTGTCCCTGTGACAGACATATAACCGCAACCACATTCTACAGTGTTTCTACAGGAAGATATTCAACCTTTTGATGAAATAGATTTATGGAAAAAGTTAAATATCTCTGAAACCGCTCGGGCGGTTGTGCCCATCAAAATACCAACTTTTAATATTATAGGAGCTATAATCATACAAAATTACAACTTCCTATCTCCATTTTTCCTCAACTCATCGTGCGTACAAGAATAAAAAGATAAAAAACGTTGTGTTCCATGTGCCCTCCCCTAAATTGTTCTAGATTTACTGAGCGGGGATGAGAAAAAATCCCATGAGAACGTCACTGACCGGTCATAGGACACGTCAGGGACGGTTATATGACAGGGACAACCATGACAATCTCTCGTCATGATAACCGAGGCCGATTGAAAATCAATCAGGTCAATACCAGTGTCAGACCTATTTCGATTTAAAACAACAGTGATAAGTTTATTGACGAAATGTCATTTCTCTCACCGGGAATGCTCAACCAGATGAGAGCAATGAATAAATATGATTTCAGATAACATTTATTTTCGATTGAAAATTTCACGCCCCGGCCAAGCCAAATGTTCACTTGATAGATATTTTTATAAAAATATTTGCATTTGTTTTTTATTTTGAAGGTATTACTAATTTTTTAAAAATAATTACAAAAGTGTTTGCTTCTTCCTCTCCATCTCACCATAACCCTAATTCAGAGCATTGTCCCCATGAAATTGATAGCATTTTCTGATATCACTCGAAGAAAAATCCATATTTAGTTTTCAAATTTAAGTATCCACGAACATTTCAGAGTAGTTTATCACAAATTTTTTTATAAATAGCAGTTCCCTTCGGCTTTCATACGAAAGTTATATAGAGGTCATGGAGGTCATATGAAGGCCATCGGAGGGTCATATAGAGGTTTCATGGGGGTTACATGAGGGGTACAAAGGTCATATGAAGATCACGATAGGATTATATAGATGTCAAGAGGAGTATGGAGATTATACGAAGATCAAATGGTATTACAATGCAGAAAGGTTACTAATGAACTATTGGAAAACCTGTAGAATTCATTTTGTTGTAACAAAACAAACATTGCGTGTCTCACGCATCAAGTGTCGTCGTCATTCATTGTATGTTGTTGGTTATTCTGTCAAAAGAAAACATTATACTGGTGTTAAAGTATGCGAAATAAAATGAACAATTTATTCGATTCCAGTAACGGATTATTAATAAATTCTTCCTCTTCGTCATCTGACCAATTATCACATTTCTAATTTATAAAGTTTTTATTAGTTAGAAATTATCCTTATTTATTTTTCATTATGATGTGTTGTACATCTTAACATAGGAAGCTTTACTATGTAACATATCGAGCTCTACTATGTAATATAGTAAACTCTAGTATGCAGCATAGTAAGCCTTACGATAATTCATAGTAGCCATTCCTATGGCCATAGTACTTACTAAACTTTAGGAATATTTACTATGGGCAAATTTTGACATAGGAATTTTTACAATTTGATTTTCTCCGCGTATGAAAGACAACAATAGAAATCAAACTCCCTTCTTTCAGTGACGAAAAATTGAACCTTCAAGAATACTTAATTCATAAACTTATCTCCCCGTAAATTGCCTCTTTTAGTTGTCACAATGATTCGTTTGAAAAATGAATAAAAATGTAAAAAAATAAAAAAATAGAGGACTGCAACTACTATTATCTTTTCATTATTATAATCACCTAATCTAAAAATGTATAACATGGTGATTTCTAATTATCATAATGAATACTTAACTGCAAAAATGAGTCGCAATTGTTCACGTGATCATCGATAAGACTCTCCACATTAAAGCATTAATTCATGTATTCAGTTCATGCCACAAAAACATCCGATTTATTTTACGGTCGACAGAGGTATAAAGTAAGGCAATAAAAAGGCACGAACACGAAAAAAAACTGGAAGAAGAGCAGTGGAATCGAGTGAAATTCAACGACCAATCTCATTATACCAAATTTTCTGAATTTGGCATTCAAACAAGCGTCTGTTTAAATATTGTAAACCCATTTTCCTTTGTATTTACCACTATTTTTTCCATCTGCTACTTAAATTAATTATGCAAATTTGGTATTCGCGTTTTGACGGGTCAGACACGTCATTTCATTTTATACATAGATATTTTTCTTACAGACATGAAAAGAGTTCAATTGCTGCTGGTGTCAAGGGGGGAGAAACGGGGCAGTATCGTTCCAGCTCGCAGGTGCCATCGACCAGGCACCAACGTAACCATTATCATTGGAGCATCGTTGGCTTAATTGGGCTACCTGGTGTGGTATACAACACACTGGACCCCAACCGTATTACTCTGTGTTTTCGTGCTCGCGAAATTTCACTCGTGCGCAACGACGCATAATTTCCAAACTGTGCGACGGTTATCGCTCGGTTGTGATACGCATCGCAAATCTCGAAAGGGTCATGATTGGGGGAAGGGGTTGGAGCAGTTAATTTGTGTATTTCCATGGGATCTTTCATGTTTGTTGGATTCAATTATTAATTATTGTTAATGATTACTGAATTGGAAATGAAAAAGAGCAATATTGTTCTTACCTTTCCGATAGAAAGGTTATGGTAATTACACTGAGAATCATTCCTCGATTTATCATCAAATGTTGACGTTTGAAGTTCTCCGTATTCTTCTTTATCCACTTTCACTAACATACCCACATGCATGTGTGTTCATATTTCCCATTCATAGTAGGGGTGACCGGAGCACAGCGGGGTGACCGGGGCATAGTGGGGTACATAAAAAAAGGCCAAAATGAAGAAATTCAAAGGGTTGACGAGAGGTCCATCAAGGATCAAAATGAAAAGTTGAAAACAGCTCGAAAAACTCGAATAATACTAAGGAACAATTTTTAAAAAATGGAAGAACTCTGGAAATTCTTTCAATTTTTTCAAATACCGGGGTGAGCCGCCATATTGATATTTTGATTAAAACCCTACCGATTTAAGAGTTTTTCTGTCGTTTTGTGGAGATTCGAAGGGGAAAAATAAAGAAAGAACATTTATAATTATTTTAAAGTGTTTGGACACTACCTTAATTGTAATACGTTGGCGACATGAGTTGATAATGTTGGAATATGGATAGTGATTGCTAAAAAAAATATAAGTATGATAGAAGCTCTGATACCCACCTCTTCGTCTTAGCTACCCCACTTTACCCCGGTCTCCCATATATAATTGACTGTTTCTGTTGCAGCTGCAATAATCCTTAAAGTTTTAAAGAAGAGAAAAAATTTGGAGTCTTCATTCATTCAATATTCACCAGCTTAAAATTCAAAAGATATTATTTTATTACGGTCGTTTATGACACGTAAAAGCTCCAAAAGTAACAAGGAACACTACGCAGGTGTCCCCCTCCGATTTCGATGAAACTTGAATATGTTATAGGGGACCCAAAATTAAGGGACACGTATTTTTTTTTAGCTGCCCATATTGGGTTTTAGAGGGTGAAAGTGCGCTCTGAAGTTGACCACCTCTCGGGGTCATTTTTCGATTGCACACATAAGGAAGCTTTTTGAACAACTCTTTCGCAGTGTATCATGAAGGTCACAAGGAATGATGAAAATGCGAATTAGAACCGTCTCCGGGGGGTGAAATATGGAGGGTAAACTACCCTTGTGAAAATTCATTTTTCTCATAGAAAAAAAACTTTGATGGAAATCCCATGGGATAAATTCCATTTAAAAAAGTAGAAAAAAATACAGAATACCTGTTTTGATTTTTTTTTATCGAAATTTAAAACTTAAAAAAATAAATTTTTCGTGAATTGTGAAAATTCAAACTTTTTCCTGTTAAAAACGAAGCTTACGGCTAATGATGAGGGAAACCATTGGGACAGGATCCAGGAATGATGTCGGGGAGGTTAACTACCCTTTGGGGGGGGGGAATTTTTTTTAACAAGGGGGAAAAAATATCGATGAGAATTTTACGAAACACATTTCGTTCGAAAGCATAAGACAATTCAAAGCATATCCTGCAATTCTTTTCCCCAAATTAAAATTGAAAGTAAAATACTTTTTTTAAAATTATATACAAGTCTTCGATTTTTTGGTACATAAAAAAGATGAGTAATGAGTCTCTGGAAGTAACACTTGGACGCTAAATAACCTTTCTGGGAGTTACTTTTAATTATATTAGTGAACAGAATTCATTTGAAACAGTAAAGAATAATAAGAAATATCGAAATTTGAACCCATGAAAATGTCCATTGCTAGTTATATATGAATTACAACTTTTTAATTATCCGTCTACTTGTATCACAGTACCATAGTCCGAACTAAATGGTAAGGATTGAATGAAGATCCGATATGGAAAGGAAACAATGATGGTAGTAATTCCCAAATGATGGGATTCAGAATATACATTGATATTATTATAGAAGCTCAGACCATTTATTCCTTCTAGTATTATATGCTCAAACAGCATACTTTCTGTTGGGATCAATCTACAGTATAGATAGTATTAGGGGACGTAATACGTACAAAAATGATATTCTTCAAAAAAATGCAGCAAACAAAATGACTTTTTGCACCATGAGCATCTGACTACTGCAATATTGGAACAGCCTTCAATATCACAGTGCGGATGAGATGATTGCCCGAATGCAAAATCGACAGGACTTTCGAATTCATCCGGTTTTTTAGAAATGTAACCACTCTAAAACCAAGCATAACGAAATAAATTTTGATACCTCGGTGGTGATAATTGATTATGGACTAAAGACTGTAACTTTATGATATTGTTCCGCAAATGTAAATTAATATCATAATCCATTAGGACGACACTATCCGAAAAATGACGAACATAATTCTTCCATATCCTAAAACCATATACGTCAAGGGGTTGAATTTTTCCAGTAGTCCCCTTTGGTATCAACATAGTTAATAATTCTTTATCCGGAGGAGTAATTTCTTTCACGACTTGAGGACAGTGTCCGCTCCAGGAATCGATTAACAGTAGACTTCTAGGACCCACGTTTGGGAAAAAGACTTCCTTCAACCAGGTTTTGAAATGCTCTGAANACCATCAGAAGTCGGATAATGTTGATCGGATTAACTTTCATGGTAGAACAAGTATANGTCGCAGGTTTGAAAAGATTTTGCTCCACTATTGGACCGAAAGTTCCAGAAAGTTCAGTCAAAACCAGGAAGAGAGGTGAAAGTAATTTTCCATCAGCAGAAATCAGAGGTTGTACTGTATAACTATGTGTCGTTGAAGTTATCGATTGTACGACGCACGCTACTTGTTTAGTACCTTCTTCAGCTAACGTTCGCCCTGAATGAATTTCCAATTGGAAACCACTTTGATCAGTATTATAAATGTTTTCTGGGCCATACGTATCCCAATAAGACCGAACTTTCAGGAGGAATTCGTCCGCTTCTTTTTGTAACTCTTCCCAAGTCTCTAATGTTTTTCTGGTGATGAATTTGTTAATTTCCCGGGATGTTATGCGGTGTGCTCATTTGAAATAATGCAACCACCTGGACGAAGCTGTAAACCGAACGTCTTCGAAGCAGATTTCCTTCCGGGCTTGCAGGGCCCACCTTCGTAGGTCAGTATCGTGGACGATTAAACCTGCATCGATAGCATTCTTCATATTCTTTAATGTGTACTCCGAAATGCGTTTCAACTTCTCCATGTATGTCCCTCTTTTATTGATTTGATTCGCCCAGCGTCGTAACTGTCTACGCGATTTCACCTTCCTGAATCGATGGGAAACAGTTTCTATAGAGAGATTCTTCTTCTTCTTTCCACTTCTCCAGAAGTCAACGACATTCTTTTTATATTCGAAATCTACAGGTTCCTCATGCTCCGAACAACTGTCAGGTGATTCTTCTGCATGTGGTTGAAATTCTTTATCCTCGACGGCTATCATTTTGATATCTTTATAAGGCTCATGAAAATCCAGGAATGTTTCTTCGATCATTTCAACTCCATTATATTCCTCCATTGATTGAATCAATATCCTTTCGAACGTGTCTGCTAATTCACGTTCCTCGTTGTTCACGGGTATTTCAGCAAGATTGAGAACTTCAAATGTTACCATCAGAAGTCGGATAATGTTGATCGGATTAACTTTCATGGTAGAACAAGTATAGATCACGCCACTCATCGAAAAACTACTTTTCTCTTCGATGTATGTTCATAGACTGATTGTAATTCACAAGAGGGATGGAAATGAAAAACATTGATATCGTATAAGTTATATTGATCAGAGTAATTTTATCCTCAGATAACAAATGAGCCATTTGCATCAATATGTTTATAACGAATATTCTTCAGTTGTGGTTCTGCATTATCAAACAGAATGGTATTGCCATATGTCGCCATTTACGTCTCATTGAAAACGATATCACATCGAAGCGATAAGAGCAAGCGAAATACATTTTATCATCGATCCGTTATTTACTATACAAAATCATCGGCTCTTCGTTGTACCACCCATCCACGTTCATATACAGATGAAAATTTGAATTCCTCGAAATATTTCATCATAACTCATTTTTTCAAATTGGAAATGGAAGCCATTTAATGGAATCTCTACTCTGGCCTTCGTTGAAATTTTTTAGATTCATGGTCATTACTGATTTCTTTTGAAAATGAATGAGGTTGGTCCGATCGATTCGATAAAATACCATGAGGATTGTTAAGCCCTCAAGTTTCACTCCCGAAGACTATTTCAATTGTTTCACTTATCATTCCGTGTAAGATCTGTCTATTATAACAAACAATTAAAAACCCATAATTTTTCAAAGAATCGATGTTTCTTACCTTAAAATTCTAATTTGTGGAAAAAATCCTAAATATGTGCTTTAAATTGTCTCATATTATATTTTTTCTTCCTTATTAAAAAAAAATCCCCCCCCCC